TGGGTTTTAGGGTTTAGGGTTTGGGGTTTAGGGTTTAGGGTTTCGGGTTTCGGGTTTAGGGTTTAGGGTTTCGGGTTTAGGAGGGTTTCGGGTTTAGGGTTTAGGGTTTAGGGTTTGGGGTTTTTGGGTTTCGGGTTGAGGGTTTGGGGTTTAGGGTGTTGTGTTTAGGATGCAGGGTTTGGGGTTTAGGCTTTAGGCTTTTGGGGGTGGAGGCCCCTTCCCTCTGAACACCTTCGCCAGGAAGCAGGTTCATGATGATGGTGGCATCTGGCTTCAGCACTTTGCCTTGCTTGGGAGAAGGGTTGGGAGGAGGGGCCCCGAGCACGTCGAGTCGGATGCCTTAGAAGGGTTTAGGGGAAAGGGGAAGTTCAGAAGTTTACGGGGTTTAGAGTTTTATGGTTTAGGGGTGTGCTTTAGGGTGTTAAGCTGTTGTGTGCTTTTGCTCAGAAAGCTCGTGGCTTTGCATACCGGCTCGTCCGCGAGCATCTGCCCCGACACATCCCCATTTTGGGGTTTAGGGGTTCAGGGTTTAGGGGTTTGGTGGCTTAGGCCTAAACCCTAAACCGTACACCCTAAACCCTAAGCCTAGGGTTTAGGGTTTGCAACCTTTGGAAGTTGAGGTTTAGCGCACACCGTAAAACCAGAGGTGGGACCGCCATCGACACTTCGGCTTCTCCCCTGAGCCCTTTCACTAAAGGAAACTACCTTTAGGGTATAGGGCTTTAGGGCTTTAGGGTTTAGGGTTTGGGGTTTAGGGTTTAAGGTTTTGGTAAAGGAAACTACAGGTGGGGAGTTTAGGGTATAGAGGGCTTCTATAAGGCCTCTATAAGGTATATAGACCTTCTATCTATAAGGCTCCTATAACGGTAACTACCCACCTCATTTCATAGGACTTCTTTGTTTAATGTAGGGGCCTTCATAACTAGAATGGGTTTTGGGGGGATATTATACTATAGTTATCAGGAGGAACCTCCAATATAATACAAGTAGTTATTAAGGCCCCTCTAGTACCCGATCTTGACGGCATGAGCTTCCCAAGCCCTGAGTTTATACCCTGAACCCTTCCTTATGAAAGCCTTTGTGGAGCGCATGCAAAGAACCAAAGAACACTTTGAAAACCCTAAACCCAAGAAGACCCTAAACCCTAAACCCAAGAAGAAAATCAAAGATCACTTTGAAAACCCGAAACCCAAGAAGAAAGAAGACTCCCTAAACCCTAAACCCTAAACGAAAGAAGACCCTTAACCCGAAACCCAAGAAGCTCAAATCCTCGCCCGGGCGGCTCAGGCTTTGTAAGAAAGTGCCTTCCGGCTCCACCAGGACAGGGGGCACCTTGAAAGGGTTAGGGCTTGGGGTTTCGGGTTTGCTTTCTTTAAATGGTTTAGGGTTTAGGGTTTGAGGTTTGAGGTTTTTGGGTTTAGGGAGTTTGGGCTTTGGGGGTTTAGGCTCTAGGCTTCAGGTTAAGACGGCGCCTTGCCACTCTTGTCAAAGGCATCGACGAAGACCATATCGTACTGGTACCTCACGTTGAGGGTTTCTGGGCTTCGGAATTACACCCTAAACCTCAAACCCTAAACCCTAAACCCCTAAAAACGCTCCGCACCCCGGAACGATAAATCCCAACCTGCACAGCCCAGGGAACGCATCGCCGGTGGCTGCCAGGGCTTCGACGAAGTCCTCGCCCGGAATGCTGTAGACGCGGAGACCTGAAAACCGTGAGTGACTGGAGTTTGTTGGTCCTGCTTGTGGACAGGGGGGGCATGGGGGCTTAGGGTTCAGGGATGGGGTTTTAGGGTTTATAAGGTGATATATATATATATATATATGTATATATATATATACATACGTATATATACATACATACATATACATACATACATACATACATACATACATACATACATACATACATACATACATACATATATATATATATGTCATATATACACATGCACGCACACAAATATATATATATATATATATACATATACACAAACATATATACCGGAACTTCGGAGGGCACTTAACTTCTAGTGGCTTGGGAGATGCTGCATCTCGGGGTCAAGCGGGGCTTTGAGGGTTTAGGGCTTAGGGCTTTGACTGTTTAGAAACCCTAAACGCTCAACCCTAAACCCTATTTGGGTTTAGGGCTACTGGGCTTAAGGTTTGAGGGTATGTTCTGCATTAGGACCTTGCAGGTCGGGAATTAGGACTTAAATGATTTTAGGGCGAGGATAGGGGCTCATGATGTATGGTCTTGGGAGTTAGGTTGGCTTTTGGCCTTGGGTTTCAGGTTCGGGTGTTGAGTCTGTACGGCCTGAAGGCTTGTCCAGCTGAGCATTTACCCACTAACGCGCAGCTCCAACAATAGTTCTGATCGCAAGTGTCAGGGCTTCTGCCTTTGCTCTAGATGACGCAGGGAGCCGAGGAGTACGGCGTATGGCAAACGATGTCAAGAACAAAGACAACCACACCCCAAACCCCACAGCTAAAACCCTACGCCCTGCGTCACGCATGCTCAAAAGCAAAAACGAAATGAAGCAGTAATATAGGGGCCTCAATAATTAGAATAGGGTTTGGGAGCCCTTTATAGTATAGTTATAATAAGGAACCCCCCAAAGTAGTACTGTTAATTATCTAGGCTCCTATAGTAAGCCCAGAGAGCCAAACCTGAACCCAACAAAACCCCCAGAAGCAGACCGTGCAGGGTTGGTTTCGGGTTTCGGTCACTTTAGCGTTTAGGGTTCAGGGTTCAGGGTTCAGGGTTTAGGGTTTAGGGTTTAGGGCTTAAGCCCTAAACCCTCAAAAAACGAAGAACAAGGACCCTCAACCCTGAACAAAGAGACGAGGCCTCCTTCGGATGAGACTGCATCTTTGGCAGCCTCCTGGCCGGACGAGACAATGTGTAACACTAGCTTGTGATTCAAGAACTTGATTCAATAGGAATCTACAGTAAGCAACCCATATGGTGTCCGTATTAAGGTAATTTAAAGTAAGCTCCTTAACAAGAATACAGAACATGGGGGGCCTTCATGATCACAACAGGAATCTTCAAAGGTTCCTGCACACGATACGCCCTAATGCTCCAATATCGCTACTCCGCTAATGGCGTCCCCTCATTGTCCCTGCCATATCTGTGCTTCAGTCTGCCCCCCAAAACCCTACTTGGAGGTTCATGGGTGGTTGTAACTGGGGTTGTAAGTAGAGTAACTGTACTTATAACCCATATTAGGGAACTTATAACCCCATTTATAACTACCCATGGACCTCCAAGTATCCTAATTATCCAGGTCCCTATACACCCTAAACCCTAAACCCTAAACCCTAAACCCTAAACCCTACCAAACAAACGTTTGACATCCTCAAGATGCGTGCCTGGGCCGAGGCTGCATCGCGGATTGCATCCTTGGGGAAGCCCATGGCATCCGTCGCCACCTGAGATGAATTACGCGGTTTAGGGTTTAGGGTTACACGCACCAGCTGGGGACTGCTGCTACCAGTACTACCACCACTAGTGCTGCCATATACAAACACGACTTCAAAAACTCCGGCGACGACTGCTACGATCCCTAGCCCTAGATTATGTACGTCACATCAGAGCCGGAAACTAAACTCAAACCCTGACCCATCGCGACACCTAAATCCCTTTATCCTAACCCCAGATCCTAAACCCTAAACCTCAAACCTGAAACCCCAAACCTCGAATCCCCAAATGCGCAAACCCGCGAGGCCCCCAATGCTTAAGATTTTCGCTTCCGACCCAGAGCATCAAAACTTTGAGGCAATTGGCATGGTTTAGGGTTTAGGGTTTACGGTTGACGGTTGGTTGTAAAGGGGCTATACGGGGATATCACTTTATGACTGAAAAGGGGCTCGTAGCGGTGGTGTTATAGTATGAAAAAACGGGGCTACGCCGGGATGGTTCATAAAGACCTCTAGCCTACACCCACACGCAGCCTACATTGCCCCTGGCTATACTTGGAGGTGCTAAGCAGGGTTATAATTCGCCTAATATGGGTTATAGTTATAATTAAAGTTGCCCTACTTATAGCACCACTTGTAACTACCCATGAACCTCCAAGAAGCCTTGACCACGGCAGGGTCGATCTCCAAGGCGTCCACCGTCATCTGCCCCTGGATGGAGAAGCATGAAAAGGTTTTAGGGTTTGTGCAAGGATTTGAATGCAGACCTGCAGGGTTTCATGCAAGACAAAGCTTAAAGAAGAAACCCTACACCCTAAACCCTAAAACCCTAAACGTAAACCTAAACCCTAAACCCTAAACGATCTAAACCCTAAACCTAGACGCGGCCGCAATTGACCTACCAAAATAAGCCCTTAAGCCCTTGCCCAAGTCACATCCTCAGCTTCGACCTCTTCGTTGCAAAGGGGGGTGGGGGGGTGGGGGGAGGGATGATAACAAACATGTTCACGCACTTTGTATGCAAGTCGATGCTTCTTATTTCCAAGTCAGTCCTGCGCTGTCATGTGTGTGTTGTGTAGGAGTGTAGGAATGCGGGCTGCCGGCAGACATGTTCACATGCCTGTTCTTGCCAAAACAAATATGTTCACATGCCTGTTCTTGCTAAGTTTTGGCCGAAGATGTGGACTCCACCTAGACAGCGTAGAATCAGTGAGGCTTCAAGCCCATACAGTGTTGCGAGCTCCCGGCTAGAGCTTCAGCTATGGTCTCCAATGTCCGTTCAGTCGTCGCCGGACTGTGCCGTGGCTCAGTCGTCGTCAGTCCGCCGTGCAGTACCAAGTGATCCACTTTTTGCAGAAGTGCCACCGGCTGCAGTAACAAGTGCAACATCTGTTGCTGAAGTGGCAGTGCCCAGATGGAGAGACTAAAGTCAACCCTGCTTTAGTGGAGTATCTGTTTCAGTTCTCTTTGCGCTGGCATCATGAAGGAAACTTTCAGTGCCTGAAGCAGAAAGTTGGGGACTTCCTGCGAACTAAAGGGTGAAAAAGTGCTTGCCCTACGTTTGCATGTGCACGAACGCTGGCACGCACAGCGAAATCGGTAGGGCAGAGGTGGCCGCGCCAGGCCCAAAACCCTAAACCCTAAACGATCTAAACCCTAAACCCTAAACCGGATCTGCAACAACACCTCCGGCTCTCGGACCCAGGTCTGCCTCTCGCAAGCTCTTTTGGTGCATTGCTGCCGGGTATACTTGGAGGTTCATGGGTAGTTATAAGAAGGGTTATAAGTCCCCTAATATGGGTTATAACCATAGTTACCCTACTTATAACCCCACTTATAACTACCCATGAACCTCCAAGTAGGGCTGGTGTAGGGGCCACCTTGAGCTACCATAACCTTGGGTTTAGGGTTTAGGGTTTAGGGTTTAGGGTTTAGGGTTTTAGGGTTAGAGTTCTGACCTCGAACCTAGTGCATTTATAAGGACACTACAAGACAAGTAGGTTGAGGTTGGTAAAGGTACTGGTACAGACAACTGGCACACGCTTGGATTTATTCTCCTTCACATCCGAGGTTGGGGCGCGAGCAAATGGTAACATATATAAGAAGACCAATAGATAGCTAGACACATAGACAGCTAGATAGATAGACAGACAGACAGATAGATAGATAGGTCGGTAGGTAGATAGATTGATTCATAGATATCTGGGCGTGTCTGTGTATGTGTATATGTATACACATATGTACACGTATATACACTATCTGTGCGTATATACATCTGTATATATATATATATGTATATAAAAGACGCTGCGCCTATGTGTGCATTGGCGAAAAAGGCTTACTCTTACCGGTACCCCAAACCGCTATTACTGCCACCTGTAGATAGCTGTAGTATTGCACAAATCAAAGCAGTCGCTCATCTCTGCGTATATATATATATATATATATGTGCATGTATGTGTATACACATATACACACATACATGCATACATACATACACACATGCATACATACCTACCTACCTACCTACATACATACATACATACATACATGCATGCATACATGCATACATTCATACATACATACATACATGCATGCATGCATGCATGCATGCATGCATGTATGCATGTATACAAACATGTATGTGTATGTATATACATATATGTGTTTATGTATGTATTTATTCGCTTATGTACTTATTCGCATGGGACTGTCGGGGTTGGATGGGTTGCGAGACTGTGTCACACATCCTCTTTGAACACGGAGCTGATGTTGTGGGCCGCTCTGTTCTCACCCAAATCAATAGACTCAATGCTCACAGACTCGTCAAAGCTCATCTGCCAACCATGCCAAGGACCTAGCAACAATATAATAAGGAGCCCTGAGGGATACCACTGGTAATTGTTTAGGCCTCTGTAGTAGTTCGAATACTCATGTCGCATGTGTGCACAAGTCTTTTGGCCTGGCTCTTCGCAGGTCAGGCTCCGGGTTGGACTCTGCATGGCTTTGCGATGCAAGACGTCGCGCATGGCGGAGGGCCAAGGCACCGGATGCTGCACAAAGCGGACAAGACAGGCACAGGAGTGGGAAACTGCATCGGGTTTCGGGTTTAGCCTTAGGGTTTAGGGCACAAGGGGCACCGGTAGCTAGACGCTTCTGGGCTGTGGCGCCTGTCGTCGCAAGTGCAGCCTGTACATGATCGGCAGCCTCCCCAGCACCCTGGCGCAGGATGACTAAGCCCAAAGCAGGGAGTAATCCGTCTGAGCTGTACATCGAGGTGGGTCCCATGCACTTGAAGCAGAGGTTACTACCAACCTCGGGCTTCATAAGTAAAAGTTTGATATGCCTGGGAATTCCGCATGATACGTTGCTTGAGGTCGCATGCGCTTGCGGCTACTACCGACCTCAGGCGTCAGAAAAGAAGTTGGACGTCTCTGGAAATTCCGCAAGCTCATGCCGATGATCCCCAAAGCACCCAACCACTGCAGCCGATCTGAAACTTGGGGCGGAGGTCTTCGATGGCAAGGTAGCCCACGGCTTTCACGGAGCACATGACAAAGCTGACGTAGCCCACGAAGAGCACGAAGAGCACCATGGCTTTTTCCAGCATCATGGAGCGAGACGCCTGGCTGGACTTTCCCGACTCGACATTGCTATCGCCGTCCCGGAGAAACTTCCAATAGAGCAATGCAGGGTAGATCTGGGTGACCCAGGGTGTTGTTAGGGCCGTGACGAAGTCCAGAAGGGTCCCGATGCTGGGAGTGAAGGTGGCCAGGATTAAGGCAAAGATGAAGGTTGGCAGCGTGTAGCCCAGATACCGCATCACATCAGACGTGGACCACGTGTCCTTGTAGTTTGGCGCCCAGCTCCTCTGGCAGAACCGGCAGAGCGGCACGGAGTCGAGCATGTATGAAACGAAGTTGCCCCCCAACTTAAAGCAGCTGAAGAT